GCAGATAACTAGCTCTGAATGACCTCCTTATTGAAGCATTTTCTATCAATGCAAATTTCTTACTGAGAATTCCTATTTTAAAAGTTACTTATGACATGTCTACATAGAAGTTCATTGACTCATCAATTTTAGCTTGAATCAGTCTATCTTGTAGTTCTCTCATTGAAGCTTCTAACTCTACTTTTTGTGGTAAAGTACTTCCAACTTCAGCATGTGTTGATCTCTCCTGGTTGTTGCTAGGGTAGTCAAAGTTAGATAGAACCAAAGTGTGTGGTGATGTTCAACAGGAACTTTACTAGCTGCTAGGATCTTCTTCATATTGTAGAGTAAGCAACAGAGTTTAAACTGCACATTGTATACTAGTTGTGTTTCTAATTCTCACAACTTCTTCTATTTGATAGTCTCTTAAATGTGTTACCTAGTTCTCCAAATGTGCTCTCAACCATTGATCTAAATGACCCAAGTTTGCTATTATATTCTAACTCTGCTTCACTTAAGTTGGTTCCTCTTGGCTTTCTAACTGGTAAGCAAAAGTTATGCATTCCAAAATTCTCATTCTCTTCTGCTTCTGTTAACTCTTCCAGAATACTTTGAGGATAACCACCATCTAAAAACAACACAATCTACTGGAGAGATGTATTTCAATAGTGACATATTCTTAATCATCTTAGAGTCTGGGTGGTCTTTACATTCCTCAGTTGGTGAAACAAGGACAACCATTCCATTCAAATCAATGCAAAACTTGTGTTCTATATCCTGACTTCTTCAACTTGAAGGAATAAAGATTTGGTTTGTATGCACCATTATGTAGAGCTCGTGAGTCATGTCCATCTAACATAAGAGTTATATGCTTAAAGTTTGTTGGATTCTGAATCTTTGCTGAGATCACTCTTAGTTCTGGAGTGGAGAACATTGTGTGCAAGTAGTGTGAAAGCTTCTTGTTCAACTCACTTAACTCTGAGATATAGAACATATTATGAATTACTTGGTAGCTGCTCTTAGGAATAAACCTCTCCATCTCATTGATTGATAGCCCAGCAACTAACTGGTACAAAATCAAGAGTCCTTTCTCAACATTTCTGTAAGGACATGGATACTGCTTTCCACCAAATAGAACATTTAAGAAGAAGAACACAGGGATCATTCCAAGTTGCTTTACAAGTGTATCTTTGATGAGCTTTATTTCTTTCACTTCATGAGCTTCACTCCTATAGTACTTCTGTTGTTTATGTACTAACCAGTCTTCATCAAGAAATCTCCACTTTGTTGTGTAGAGCACATTCCACTCCTTCTCTCTTAATTCTTGTAATTGATTGTCCATCTGTGTGAGGTAGTCATAAATAAAAATTTCAACTTTTATCAATTTTAGAAAATGGGATCATTCCAGAACTTCTTCAAGCAACATTTAGCTGAGATGTGTGAGGAAGAAAGAGATATGCTTACTCTGCTACTTATTCATGACTTTGATATGAGTGATGACTTAGCAATACAAGTGCGTAATTGGATCCAACATATTGCTACTGATTGTGAGGTAAGGGTTGAACATGTGTATGATGTTTGTCATACTTTCCATAGAGATATGGAGAGAATGGTTGCTTATACTATGTTTTAAAATGGCTGCTATTCAACTGTGATTGTTCTATATCCCACACTTATAACTCTTAGATATATTTGTTGCTTTCTTTCTCCTAACTGTTGAGAAATTGCTTTTCCAATAGAACTGTCAACTGGTGTCCTAATAAGAGTTGGCTGTTTATCTCTCCCTTTAATAAGAATATCAACATAGAAGTATGAATGTCCTCTAAAAGTATGGAGTGCATAATGTGTAGCTGTAAATTCATCACCTAACTGAAGAACATTGTAAGCAACTCTATACAATGAAGGTTTCAGATCTGTATTCTCTTTGATAAATATATGGCTAGTTTCATCAAGTGTGATATTGTCTATTGCTGTTGTTAATGCATTGATGTTTTCCTCTTTTGCAGAATATTTATCCTCTGACATTTTTGATAGACATATCTTACTCTTTGCTTGCTTACTATCTATCCAACCAATATGCATTCCTTTATAGTTAACTAATCCCATCTCTTCAAAAGTGTGATACTGCTTAGTTGTAGGATAAGTTGACCAGAAGGAGTTTCTCTGACTTGGAACAATAGTTATATTCTCATCAACTCTTCTAAGAACTTTTTCTGTTTCAAGACCACTCTCAAGTGAATCATATATTTGATAAAGTGTAGGTCTGTTGTTGAATGAGAGATTAGCAACAACTACCATTGGATCATCATTCTTGTTTAGTTTCTTAATAATTCCTTGCTTCTTTGATGTGATAGAGTTAAACCAATGACAATATGCTAGAGTATGCTGTTGTCTCACATAAATGCAAACTGTATAACAACTACTAACTTTATCAACAAGTGCTTTCCACTGCTTTTCATAAGAAGTTGCAAATGTTCTGCATTCATTCATAAACTGAACTGTGTTAAGAAGCAAGTTACTATTCCATTCAACTGTTTGCATCTGAGAAGAATGTACAGTTAGTTCTATCCTAGTCAAACCAGAGTTTCTGCAAGCATACAATGTTTCTCCAAAGTTGTGCAAAGTTGGCATTACAAATTCAGAAAGTTTGGAACTAAGAGGATTACGAACTTCACCACTCTCAAGAAGCTGAATAAACTTGTTATAAATTTTGTTCTTAACTTTAACATCTCCTTTCTTTGTAAACCAGCTAATACAGTTAGAGCCAGACTTGTGTAAATCATCTACAACATCTTTCTTTTCAACTCCTCTTTCTAAAAGGTATTTATAGATAATATTTCTAGATGAGATATTCATACAATCCATTGTGATGTCATAATTCTGTAGAAATATTTTGTGATCAGCCATAGTAGCAAACTTCACTGTTAACAAAGAACTAGTTATTGCAATGTTTGGGGTAGATACTTTGTAAATAGCAACTGGTCCATATTGCTCACTAATCTTGCTTCTAACATACTTATAACCAAAACCTTCTCCAAATACTTTATGCAATCTAACACTAGCTGACTTCTGCTTCACCTTTATATCTGATTCACTGCATTTCTCAACAACAACCTCAACAATGAATGAGTCAACAAATATTTCAGAAGAGTGCTTAAATCCAAGTTGCTCTACACCTCTAGCAGTATACCTAGCATCAGCAACATCAGGCATATTTCTTCTTTCTGACAACACTCTTGTTAGTAATGCTCTTAGTTCACTTTGGAAGGGGGTCATTCCTGGACTTGTAAATTTTAGTAAATTACAATTTTGTTAGATAGTTATTTGAATAATCGTTTTCAGAACTATTTTTTGCTACTAGATATTTTTGTAACAGATATTTATAATTGTTGTGTCCAGAATGTTTTTGTGTGTATAATTGATTTTAAAAATACAAATATTTTTTTTGCCATTTCACCCAAACCGCCATCGGCATCTTGGAAAAGTTTCAGTGAACATAATTTCCTTGTGGTTGCTTAGCCACATCTATTGAGATATTGACTTTTGTTGCCCAATGATAATTAACCCCAAATATGCAAAGGTTTTTCTTTCTGGTTGAAATTATGTTCACTGAAACTTTTCCAAGATGCCGATGGCGGTTTGGGTGAAATTTTTATTTCACTGAAATTGCCAATAGTTTAAACATGTATAAATAGTTGTTATGCAGATAACTAGCTCTGAATGACCTCCTGTGTATCAACTGAAATTTTTCAGGATGCCGAAGGGGGTTTCGTAGAAGCACCATATTTGGCATCTTTGTTTGTTTGTTAATCTAGTTGCTAGAATCTTTTTGGCCATTGCTAAACATTCTGTTTTTTAAAATATTTATCTACTGTTAGTAATTGATTTCTTATTTGTTAATTGGTTATTCTGTTAACAGATATTTAGTTTCTTTAAACTTTTATATTTATGAATGGCCTCCTAACATTAGTGTTACATGTTTAAACCCTTGTGGATTCTGTATCTTTGCTGCAAAGACTCGTAGTTCTGGAGTTGAAAACATTGTTTGCAGATAGTATGTTAGTTTCTTGTTCAAATCTTTCATTTCAGAAATATAGAACATATTGTGAATAGCTTGATAGCTGCTTCTTGGAATGAATCTTTCCATTTCATTGATTGACAATCCTTCAACAAGTTGGTACAAGATGAGCAATCCTTTCTCTACACTTCTGTAAGGACATGGATAATGAGTGCAACCAAACAAAACATTCAGAAAGAAGAAAACAGGAATCATCCCTAGATGTTTAAGAAGTGTATCTTTTATATGCTTAATTTCTCTTACTTCATGAACTTCACTTCTGTGATATTTTGTGGGCTTTAAAATTACCCAGTCATCATTCAGAAACTTCCATTTGTTTGTGTACAGCTTATGAAACTCCCTTTCTCTGAGTTCTTGTAATTGATGATTCATCATTGTGAGGCACTCATAAATTTAAAAGTTGTCATTTATTACAATGGGCCCATTCTACACTTTCTTCACTACAAAACTTGCTGACCTTGATGAGCAAGAGAGAGAAAAGCTTGCACAACTACTAACTAAGAATTTCAGTATGAGCAGGAAATTGTCAGTATATATCAGAGCATGGATTGAGAGTGTTTCAGAAGATAAGGGTGTTACTATTAAGCATGTGTTTGATGTATGCAACTACAGTTGTGCAGATATGGAAGTAATGGTTGCTAACTGCCCATTTTAAAACTAGATCCTCGCAATATGGATAATACGATTATGAATTCTAGCTACTTTAAGTACTACTTCTTGATTTGGTTCACCAATAATAGAAGCAATATATTCACCAAATGGACTACTTGCTTGTATTTTGATATGAGTGTGAGTACTGCTAACTACTTCATTGTGAATCATATAGATATCTAGATAGTAGAATGGCAACCCTCTAAAAGTATATAAGAAATAATGACTAACTAGGAACTCATCTCCAGCATGAAGTATGTTATAAGCAACTTTGTATCTAGCTGGCCTAAGATCAGTATTTTCTCTTATGTATATGGGTTCTAGATCATCAAGTTCAATGTTGCTGATATCAGCAATAAGATCATCTATTCCTAGGTCATCAGCATCCTCACTAATACTTGAGAGAGTTGAGAGACAAACTTTCTCTCTTGCTTGTTGAGCAGTTAGCCAATCAATATGCATCCCACGATAGTTTACAAGTCCCATTTCAGCAAATGTGTGTTGTTGTCTTTCTCTTGAAGCAACAGGCCAGAAAGAATTCCTCTGACTTGGAACAATGGTGATGTTTGTGTTATCTCTTCTTAGAACAACTTCTGATTCAACAGGACCACTGCTGGTAGCATATGTTAGAAGAACAGTTGGGTGCCCATTAAATGTAAGATTGGAAACAACAGTCATCACATCCTCATTCTCTTTCAACTTTTTAGCTATTCCTTGTTTCTTCATAGTTGTCCTATTGAACCAATGGCAGTAACCAAGAGCATGTTCTTTATGGAAGTAAATGCATAACATATTTTTGTTATAGGGGGTCATTCCTGGACTTGTAAATTTTAGTAAATTACAATTTTGTTAGATAGTTATTTGAATAATCGTTTTCAGAACTATTTTTTGCTACTAGATATTTTTGTAACAGATATTTATAATTGTTGTGTCCAGAATGTTTTTGTGTGTATAATTGATTTTAAAAATACAAATATTTTTTTTGCCATTTCACCCAAACCGCCATCGGCATCTTGGAAAAGTTTCAGTGAACATAATTTCAACCAGAAAGAAAAACCTTTGCATATTTGGGGTTAATTATCATTGGGCAACAAAAGTCAATATCTCAATAGATGTGGCTAAGCAACCACAAGGAAATTATGTTCACTGAAACTTTTCCAAGATGCCGATGGCGGTTTGGGTGAAATTTTTATTTCACTGAAATTGCCAATAGTTTAAACATGTATAAATAGTTGTTATGCAGATAACTAGCTCTGAATGACCTCCTTATTGAAGCATTTTCTATCAATGCAAATTTCTTACTGAGAATTCCTATTTTAAAAGTTACTTATGACATGTCTACATAGAAGTTCATTGACTCATCAATTTTAGCTTGAATCAGTCTATCTTGTAGTTCTCTCATTGAAGCTTCTAACTCTACTTTTTGTGGTAAAGTACTTCCAACTTCAGCATGTGTTGATCTCTCCTGGTTGTTGCTAGGGTAGTCAAAGTTAGATAGAACCCAAAGTGTGTGGTGATGTTCAACAGGAACTTTACTAGCTGCTAGGATCTTCTTCATATTGTAGAGTAAGCAACAGAGTTTAAACTGCACATTGTATACAGTTGTGTTTCTAATTCTCACAACTTCTCTATTTGATAGTCTCTTAAATGTGTTACCTAGTTCTCCAAATGTGCTCTCAACCATTGATCTAAATGACCCAAGTTTGCTATTATATTCTAACTCTGCTTCACTTAAGTTGGTTCCTCTTGGCTTTCTAACTGGTAAGCAAAAGTTATGCATTCCAAAATTCTCATTCTCTTCTGCTTCTGTTAACTCTTCCAGAATACTTTGAGGATAACCACCATCTAAAACAACACAATCTACTGGAGAGATGTATTTCAATAGTGACATATTCTTAATCATCTTAGAGTCTGGGTGGTCTTTACATTCCTCAGTTGGTGAAACAAGGACAACCATTCCATTCAAATCAATGCAAACTTGTGTTCTATATCCTGACTTCTTCAACTTGAAGGAATAAAGATTTGGTTTGTATGCACCATTATGTAGAGCTCGTGAGTCATGTCCATCTAACATAAGAGTTATATGCTTAAAGTTTGTTGGATTCTGAATCTTTGCTGAGATCACTCTTAGTTCTGGAGTGGAGAACATTGTGTGCAAGTAGTGTGAAAGCTTCTTGTTCAACTCACTTAACTCTGAGATATAGAACATATTATGAATTACTTGGTAGCTGCTCTTAGGAATAAACCTCTCCATCTCATTGATTGATAGCCCAGCAACTAACTGGTACAAAATCAAGAGTCCTTTCTCAACATTTCTGTAAGGACATGGATACTGCTTTCCACCAAATAGAACATTTAAGAAGAAGAACACAGGGATCATTCCAAGTTGCTTTACAAGTGTATCTTTGATGAGCTTTATTTCTTTCACTTCATGAGCTTCACTCCTATAGTACTTCTGTTGTTTATGTACTAACCAGTCTTCATCAAGAAATCTCCACTTTGTTGTGTAGAGCACATTCCACTCCTTCTCTCTTAATTCTTGTAATTGATTGTCCATCTGTGTGAGGTAGTCATAAATAAAAATTTCAACTTTTATCAATTTTAGAAAATGGGATCATTCCAGAACTTCTTCAAGCAACATTTAGCTGAGATGTGTGAGGAAGAAAGAGATATGCTTACTCTGCTACTTATTCATGACTTTGATATGAGTGATGACTTAGCAATACAAGTGCGTAATTGGATCCAACATATTGCTACTGATTGTGAGGTAAGGGTTGAACATGTGTATGATGTTTGTCATACTTTCCATAGAGATATGGAGAGAATGGTTGCTTATACTATGTTTTAAAATGGCTGCTATTCAACTGTGATTGTTCTATATCCCACACTTATAACTCTTAGATATATTTGTTGCTTTCTTTCTCCTAACTGTTGAGAAATTGCTTTTCCAATAGAACTGTCAACTGGTGTCCTAATAAGAGTTGGCTGTTTATCTCTCCCTTTAATAAGAATATCAACATAGAAGTATGAATGTCCTCTAAAAGTATGGAGTGCATAATGTGTAGCTGTAAATTCATCACCTAACTGAAGAACATTGTAAGCAACTCTATACAATGAAGGTTTCAGATCTGTATTCTCTTTGATAAATATATGGCTAGTTTCATCAAGTGTGATATTGTCTATTGCTGTTGTTAATGCATTGATGTTTTCCTCTTTTGCAGAATATTTATCCTCTGACATTTTTGATAGACATATCTTACTCTTTGCTTGCTTACTATCTATCCAACCAATATGCATTCCTTTATAGTTAACTAATCCCATCTCTTCAAAAGTGTGATACTGCTTAGTTGTAGGATAAGTTGACCAGAAGGAGTTTCTCTGACTTGGAACAATAGTTATATTCTCATCAACTCTTCTAAGAACTTTTTCTGTTTCAAGACCACTCTCAAGTGAATCATATATTTGATAAAGTGTAGGTCTGTTGTTGAATGAGAGATTAGCAACAACTACCATTGGATCATCATTCTTGTTTAGTTTCTTAATAATTCCTTGCTTCTTTGATGTGATAGAGTTAAACCAATGACAATATGCTAGAGTATGCTGTTGTCTCACATAAATGCAAACTGTATAACAACTACTAACTTTATCAACAAGTGCTTTCCACTGCTTTTCATAAGAAGTTGCAAATGTTCTGCATTCATTCATAAACTGAACTGTGTTAAGAAGCAAGTTACTATTCCATTCAACTGTTTGCATCTGAGAAGAATGTACAGTTAGTTCTATCCTAGTCAAACCAGAGTTTCTGCAAGCATACAATGTTTCTCCAAAGTTGTGCAAAGTTGGCATTACAAATTCAGAAAGTTTGGAACTAAGAGGATTACGAACTTCACCACTCTCAAGAAGCTGAATAAACTTGTTATAAATTTTGTTCTTAACTTTAACATCTCCTTTCTTTGTAAACCAGCTAATACAGTTAGAGCCAGACTTGTGTAAATCATCTACAACATCTTTCTTTTCAACTCCTCTTTCTAAAAGGTATTTATAGATAATATTTCTAGATGAGATATTCATACAATCCATTGTGATGTCATAATTCTGTAGAAATATTTTGTGATCAGCCATAGTAGCAAACTTCACTGTTAACAAAGAACTAGTTATTGCAATGTTTGGGGTAGATACTTTGTAAATAGCAACTGGTCCATATTGCTCACTAATCTTGCTTCTAACATACTTATAACCAAAACCTTCTCCAAATACTTTATGCAATCTAACACTAGCTGACTTCTGCTTCACCTTTATATCTGATTCACTGCATTTCTCAACAACAACCTCAACAATGAATGAGTCAACAAATATTTCAGAAGAGTGCTTAAATCCAAGTTGCTCTACACCTCTAGCAGTATACCTAGCATCAGCAACATCAGGCATATTTCTTCTTTCTGACAACACTCTTGTTAGTAATGCTCTTAGTTCACTTTGGAAGGGGGTCATTCCTGGACTTGTAAATTTTAGTAAATTACAATTTTGTTAGATAGTTATTTGAATAATCGTTTTCAGAACTATTTTTTGCTACTAGATATTTTTGTAACAGATATTTATAATTGTTGTGTCCAGAATGTTTTTGTGTGTATAATTGATTTTAAAAATACAAATATTTTTTTTTGCCATTTCACCCAAACCGCCATCGGCATCTTGGAAAAGTTTCAGTGAACATAATTTCAACC